ATTTAATTCTTCTTGCATAGCAATAATCCATTGATCATCTCCTAAGGCTTCATCAACTTTGGTAGGTTCAATTTGAGAAACAAACGCCATGTTTAAGCAAGCATCTTTTAGATTCAATCTTGTTGATACTCCTTGGCTAATGTCACCAATAATTTTGTCAATAGGATGGTCTCTATGAGTTCTCCATTCTTTTGGTAGATCATTGGTGTTTGAATCTTGTTGAACAATGTTTTCTGAATTTTCCGGTGATTTCTTAATTTGATCAAATGAAAGATCTTCCGGGGATAAATCTATAGGATCATCATCATCACAAACAACTACTTCCTCCTTATAGGGGTTAGTTTCATCAAAAGATACATGCATAGACTCTTCAATAGTTAAAGTTCTTTTATTATAAATTCTATATGCTTTACTAGAAAACGAATAACCAAGAAATATACCTTCGTCGGATTTCTCATCAAACTTACCGAGATTATCCTTGTCATTGTTAATAACAAAGCACTTGCATCCAAAAATGTGGAAGTGAGCAATATTTGGCTTTCTTCCTTTGAAGAGTTCATATGGAGTCTTCTTTATTATAGGTCTAATGATAACTCGATTTCCAACATAACATGCCGTACTAACCGCATCCGCCCAAAAATATTTAGGAAGATTTGCATCACTAAGCATTGTTCTTGCAAGTTCCAATAGAAACCTATTCTTTCTTTCAACTACTCCATTTTGTTGTGGAGTTCTAGGTGCTGAAAAATTATGAGAGATACCATGTTCTTCACAAAATTCTTCAAATTGAGCATTTTGGAATTCTCCACCATGATCACTTCTTATGGATACAATCTTTAGTGATTTTTCATTTTGGATTTGCTTAGCATACTTCTTAAAGGCTTTGAAAGCATCACTTTTCTGCACAAGAAACAAAGTCCAAGAATATCTAGAAAAATCATCAATAATGACTAAAGCGTATACATTACCTCCGAAGCTTTTTGTTCTTGATGGACCAAAGAGATCCGTGTGTAACAATTGTAGTGGTCTTGTAGTAGACATCACATTCTTAGATTTGAAAGTTGTTTTGGTCTGTTTGCCCTTTTGGCATGCATTACATAATTTGTCCTTGATGAACTTCATCTTTGGTAGACCAATAACTAAGTCATGCTTAACCAATTTGTTCAAGTGCTCCATGTGAATGTGAGCGATCCTCTTGTGCCATAACCAAGTGTCATTGTTGTTTACCATAAGACATTGTACCTTCAGAGACAAATCATCTAAAGTAATCATAAAAATATTGTTAGTTATTATACCTTTGAGTTTTACCTCATTGGTTGCCTCATCCATAATGAGACATTCATCTTTGTTGAATTTGATCTTGAACCCTCTATCGCAAAGTTGACTTATGCTAAGAAGATTGTGTTTTAATCCTTCAACATAGAGAACATCCTCAATTTGAATGGATGGAGGTGTGCCAACTATTCCAACGCCAAGAATCTTTCCTTTGGTGTTGTCTCCATAGGTGACATACCCTTTGGCTTTATGTACTAGATATGAAAATTGGTGTACATCTCCTGTCATATGCTTTGAACATCCACTATCAAGATACCAAACATTTGATGTGGATTTCAAGCGTACCTACACAAAAAAATTATTCTTTGTTAGGTACCCAAGTTGCCTTGGGTCCTTCATAGTTAGTTCCCTTTTTCACCCACACATAATTCTCACTTGCTATACTAAAGTTTCTAACATAGAAAGCATTAGGTGTATGGCCTTTAATACCACAATAAAAACAAGTAGGTTCAAAGTTACTTCTATATCTAGAAGGATAAGATTTCTTCTTAGGAAATGTTTTCTTTTTCGATACATTAGCCTTTTTCTTTTGATGATTATGAACAACTTGCTTCTTTTCTACTTTCTTGGGATTGGAACTATTACTAGCCTTTACAAAAACAGTGGGATTGTTACTTGGTTTCTTAGAATTCACATAACCAAGACCCCTTTTATCATTTGGATAGCGTTGTTGGCTTAGTAATCCTTCCAATCCTATTTGTCCTTTTTCATATCGTTCAATGACTCTTTTCAATTGAACAATTTGAAAGGCATTTGATTCACACTTGGAGCATGCAAAGTTTTCTTTTTCTTTAATAAAATTCTGTTTTTGAAGATCAAAATCTTTAGTCATGGTGTCAATTTTTTCTAAACAACTTAGAAGTTCTTTTTCTTGATTTGACACCTTTTTGTATAAACTTTTTCATTCTTTCAAGAGTTCATCAATAGCATCTTGAACATCATCATCAAAAATATTAAATTCATTACTAACCTCTTCTTCATTGTCGGAGTGATGTGAAGCCATTAATGCTAGATTTGCACATTCCTCGCTTTCCGAATCGGATGAAGAACTTATCTCATTATCTTCCCATGCAACATAAGCCTTTTTGTTCTTGAACTCCTTTTTGCCTTTGAATCCATTTTTCTTGGAGAGTTTTGGACAATCCGGCTTTATGTGACCTTGCTTTCCACATTCATAACATGTGACATCTTGTGTTGATGTGGAGGCTTCTTTATCTTTATGATTATAAAATTTCTTCCTCTTGACAAAGTTAGCATTATGAAGATTATTTTTATGACCAAAATATTTTCCTAACCTTTTTACAAGAAGCAAGAAGTTTTCATCTTCCTCCGATGCATCTTTATCTTGACTTTCTTTTGAATCAACTTTCAAAGCAATGCCTTTGGATTTCTTCTCTAAATTTCAAGTCTACCGAGTTCCGTTTCGTATTCTTGAAGTTTGCCAAATAATGTAGCGAAAGTCATTGCGGAGAGACTCTTCTTTTCCGAGATTGTCGTTACCTTTGGTTGCCATTCCCTAGTCAATGATCTAAGGATTTTCAAGTTGAGTTCATCATTTGTCAAGGTTTTACCAAGAGCATTTAAGTGATTTGTCAAATGCATAAATCTCTTTTGTAAGTCAAGAATGGATTCTCCGGGCTGCATTCGAAATAGTTCATATTCTTGACTCAAGGTATTTAGCCTTGATATTTTTACTTCAGTCGTTCCTTCATGAGTTTGAACCAGGGTATCCCATATTTCTTTTGCTGTCTTGCAGTTCGAGACACGGAAAAATTCGTCCATACTGAGTGCACTTTGAAGAAGGTTTATTGCCTTTTTGTCATAGAGAACTTTCTTTTTATCATCGTCGTCCCATGCAGTTTTGGGTTTTACAGAACCAATGCCATTGATTACTGATATTGGGATAAATGGACCATTTTCAACAGCATCCCATACTTCCTCTCCCTGTGCTTCTAAATGCGCCTTCATGCGTATTTTCCAGAAGTCAAAATATTCACCACAGAATAGAGGAGGCTTGCTATTACTACCACCATCTCTGAAGACTGGTTGATGATTTGCGGAAGCCATTCTGGATCTTTAGGAACAAGTTACCTATAACTTGCTCTGATACCAATTGTAAGTCTCAGAGTGCCTAAGAGAGGGGGGGGGGGGTGAATTAGGTCTTATAAAATTTATTCGGTTTTATGAGAATGCTTGGTAGTAATTTTTGGTTAAGTGTTTGAAGGTTTTGATTATATCTTTATCTTTTCCTGATTATGGTGATGAAAGCGATAAATGCGGAAAAGTAAAGAGCACGGTGATATATCCTGGTTCCCCTCACAATCCGAGAGTACTCCAGTCCCCTTTCCAACACGAAAGAGATTTCACTATAGTTAGAATGATTGTACAGCCTATGCTTACTATCTAACCTATAGGATGATCAAAGGTTCTTAACACCTTTAAGACCAAACAAACACTAATGTGAATGAAGAACAATCCTCTTCAAATCACAACACTTACTTCCAACAATCCTGGATAGTAAGGGAAAATCTTTAAGTAATACAATGATTTAGTTTGAAGTATATGGAGAGCTTTATCAATCTTCAATTGATCTTCTTCTTCAAGATAAAAACAATTCTCAACAATGTATATAAATGTTCACAATGTATGAATGAAACTTGTAATGATAATTAAAGTGTATATGGCAAGTTTCACAAAATTATGAACACATGAAAGTATAATTTCAAATGTGAGTAAATGAGAAAATTGTTAATGAAGAAGTATATTTGTTAATTTGAAAATTGAAGCATTGAACATTGTTTGAAAATAAGAAAATCTGCATTTTATAAAGTTACAAGAACCTCTTCATTCATGCCAATTCATATGAAAAGTTGCAATGCATTCATGAAAAGATACCACTTGAAAAATGTTCAAAAAACAAAGTAAAAGCTGCATTGGTTCGCTAGGAACCGGTTCCGACACTGACAGAACCCGGTTCTTAGTGAACGTTATAAGTTGGAATTCAAATTTATCACGCAGGAACCGGTTCCCCTATTGGTACAACCCGATTCCTGGTACAAAATCCAGGGACATGTTTTTTGAGAAAAGCTGGAACCCGGTTCCCTGTTAGGGAGGAACCGGTTCCTAAAGGTTTATTTTCAAAAATACTTTTTGAAAGATATTTCAAACAAAGTTTTTCTTGATGTTAAAGTTATGGAATATGTATATGTTGATGAATGCATATTGTGAACATCTATATTCAAGATTTTAAGAATTATTTATACCATATTGACATTTGATGATTTCTTCAATAATTCTTCAATAATCTTCAAGACTTTTATTTGATGTTGATAAGCTTTTTGCACATCCTTTGAAAGTTGATGTCCATGTTGTCTTCATCAAAACACATGCTTTAAATATGACTTGAGAAGCTTGCAATTACACATCACACTGGTATTTCCTCCTAGATTCTGATTTCTTTAAGGAGTTCTAGGATCTACCATTTTTTCTACCACTTTTTAATTCCATGCATGAAACAAGAAGACTTAAACACAAATGTGTCCCACTGGGTGTGCCAATTTGTTTCTCCATAAAACAATCGCTAGCCTCTTATTAAAGGTAAAATAGGTTGAAAAAGGGGTAAAAGGTCAAAAGGTAAAGGCAATTACGAGTTTTTGATGAGGAAAATGACGCATTTCTCAGTTTTTTGCCTGAGGTAAATGATTAGGAAGATGTTCATGATATTTACAAGTTTTTGGAAGTTTTTGTTGATGTGCCATCAATTATAAGTGGCACCTCAAATCCTACTGCTAATCTGTTTTTGGCTGAGCTTTACAGGGTGAAGGTTCTACTTGATAAACCTTTAAGTATCTCAAATAATCCCCAGCTTCACGCGCTTGCTAATGAAATGAAATTGGAATATGACAAGTATTTGTCAGAGTCTAATACATTGATTTCTATTGGTGCAGTCCTTGATCCAAGGTATGAATGATTATTTGATCTGAGGCCTATGATAATTCTGTTTGATTTATGTCATTGTTATATGATGCTTTATGCTTATGATGAATTATGTATGATATAGATGATTATCTGAGGCCTATGACGATTCTGTTTGATCTGTTTCATTGTTATCTGATGCTTATGATGAATTTTGTATGATATTAATGATTATCTGAGGCCTACAATGAATTTTGTTTAATCCGTTTCATTGTTATCTGAGGCCTATGATGAATTCTGTTTAATCTGTTTCATTGTTATTTGAGGCCTATGATAAATTATGTATGATATGCTTCATTATCATCTGAGGACTATTATGCACTGTGTTATGACTTGATAGTGTCTATTGATTCAATTAAGTTGACTAGTTAGTTGTGATTTAATAGTGCCTATGATGAATACTATTTGATCTGCTTCATTTGATATCAATTATCCGAGGCCTATTTTGTTACTTGCTTGGGATATTCTGTTACCTCCTTGTATATTGCTTATGATGAAAATTAATTTTGAGGCCATTATATGTTGCCTTGTGAATTATTCTGAGGTCAGTATTGTTACCTGATACTCTACTTGTTCAAATAGGTATAAGATGATCTTTATCAAATGGGTATATTCCTTCTTGTATCCAAATCCTTCTCAAGCAACTACCTATAAACATGAATTATCAAACAACTTAAGTTCCCTCTTCCAATTGTATCAAGATACATATGGAACCAACGATGAGATTACCTCTGCTGGTGGTGTATCTGAAAGTCCAGAATTAGAATATATTTCTGGGTCGAGAAGGAGGAATTTTGAGAGGTTTTCAGAAACTGTTGTGGGTAATGATAATTTAAAATTTGATCTTGAATTATATCTTGAGGAGCCTTCCTTGAAAGTTCTCCCTAAAACTAAATTTGATGTGTTAACATGGTGGATGAGAATAAAGCCAAGTATCCTGAAAAAGGGTTATTGATCCGAAACGATCATCTATGAAAACTAAGACAGTTGAAATAGTACTTTGTGAAAGTGATTGAGTGAAAGAGAATTATAAAATTAAGAAAGATTGCACTGCTTTAATGTAAATAAATTTAATTTAATTTTTTAATCTTAATTCATTATTTAATTTTATTAACTATGTTAATTTGTCTAACTTTTCATTTAAATTATTTCTAATAAAAAAATTTGTTCTTCCTTACACCTTTGAAACTTTCAACACTATCATTTCTTTTTACCATTTAATCTCCATGCTCAATATAATTAATTATAATGCATATGTTAAGTATGTATTAGTTACTATCTAAGTTTGCTGGTCTCACCTTATAAAATATAGTTAAGTTAAAGTAAAATAAGGATGTAGTTCTTTTCTCAAAACAACATATATCATTTCTAAGAGTTGGATTCTCTCCATTTCTTTAAAAAATAGAGAGTATTATTAATAATGTTTTCATAGTATAAAAATCAAAATATATGTTACATATTTCAATAATATAAATGTATTATACATTAATATTTTAGTAATGATACTTTCGATTTCTTTAAAGAAATAGATAAAATGTAACTCTATTATAGTATCTTAAATTTCTTATATTTAACCAAAAAAATGAGGGTGCTAACTAGACACATAATTATTTAAAAACAACTTAGTACCTACATACTTTTATCATTCCCTATAAACAAAATATGCAAATTCCTTATAAACAAAATATGCAATGTACTCTCATTATTCATTATAAAAAAATATGTATATCATCGGCAGGAAAAGCATATCAACTTTTTAAATTTTAAATTTAATATGTATTATATTGTAGCATTAGATAATAGTGATGTTTGTGTTTTCCGTATTATTTTGAAATTGAATTTTAAGTTGTTATTATCAAATATTTTATAGTATGTTTTAATAGTCTATGAGAATTTGATTATTTAATATATAATTTTTATTTATTAATTTAAGATTTTACTGTAATTAATATTCTTGATGATGTGATTTTTATCTGTTCATTTAAGATTTTTATTATAATTAATATTTTTGATTATGTTGATCAATTATAGAAAATAAAATTTTATTGATTTCTCTTAATATAAAAATTATAAAAAATAAGAAAAATAATGTTACGGATCAAAAAATTATTTAATAACGAGAACAAAAATATTTATATATTATTGATCAAAATAATTTTATATAAAAAAAATTATTGACACCATTTATTATTTGTTTTAAAAAAACTAGCATTGAAAATAAAAATGGAGGAGTGAGAACGGCGCGTTTAAACTTCAAATCTGTTTGTGAAAGAAAATCAAAATCAGAAGGAAGTAGCGGTTGCCAGCTGTGCAACCACTTTGCTTTCTTCTCCTCTTTTTCCATCATCTTCTTTCTTAGGGTTTTCAATTTTCACACTTCCACTCTCTACTCTTCTCTCTCCGAACACAATCATCATCATCATCACAGTTTCCCCGTTTACCAATCATAAAACAGAGCTTTCTTCCGCCAAATTGATTTTTTTTTTGTGGGTATTTTCTATTTGCTGTTTTGTTTTAATTCATGACATTAGTTTAATTTTTGTTGTTATTATGCTCTGTTCTTTGCTGATTTTGTTTTTCTTTATTCGTAAATGGGATGGGGTTTCTATGATTTAGAATTAGACGTCAAACTTTGAGTTTGTTAACTGATTTGATGTTTCTCTTTACTTAATGTAGCTGCTGATTCCCAAAACATTGTTATACTTTTGTTTTGCTTTTCTCTTTGGTGGGTAGACATGTTCCCTAGTTTATTACAATTTTTTTGACTGAATAGTTTATTAGATGTTGAATGCTATTAATTCCTCTTCTTTTGGTTGCAGGAATTTCTTGGTGAATCACTTGTGTTTAATATTGGTGTCCGTTTGATATGCCGGTTAAAGGTGGAATTCATCAAATGCTGAGATTTTGTGTGCATACCAGTGGACTTCGGAATGCAATTGTGACTTGTTTTGAAAGTAGATACTGGAGTGTGTAAATACTGACTTAGTTGGTTGCTAAAATAGGTTGTGTTTGAAGCATATAGGGGTTGGGTTTTATTGTGGTATTCTGAAAAATATAGCTAAAACGGGGTCGCTTTGTTGTGTGGCTTCACGGCCACATGGATCAAGTGCTGACAGTAGGGACTGGTCATTGGGCTCACACGAGCCCTACTGGAGAACTAACACAAGCTATTCGCCACCTCCGTCGAGGTGGGATTTCAGATTCCAGTCTGAAGGGCTGCCTTATAATTTGAATGATCAGCTCTTTGATGGGTCCTCTACATCGTCAGATGGTAAAGAAAGTATGACTTTGGTCAGAGGCAACCACCTATATGATCTTCACTATTCTGCTTCAGATGGAACTGGAATTTTTGCTAGCAATTGTTCGTCGGAACTTTTGCAGGGTCCTCAGTGGGTGCCTCCAGCAATGCAAGAAATAAGTTTTGATGATTATGAGGCTGTGATCAGAAAAGGTAAATCCTAATTTATGAATGCACCAAAAGTTTTCTCCTTTTTAAAGTAGTATGTGATTTGCTTTATGTTCTCATTTTTACTTGAACCATTTTGCAGTTTTTACTTTTTACGTGTCTTATTATATAGAGAAGCTGGACTATAGATATAGTTGTTGCTGTAAGCCAGCAATGGTTTGCTGATAGTTGTGCATGTAGCTGTTCCTGCTTATGGAAGCAGAAGGTCTTTTTAAAAAGATTAAGTTGGTTATTGTTGATAAAGCTTTGTAATTTGTCTCATAGGTTTGATTTGTTTTGCCTCATATAGTTGAAAATAAAATAAACTTCAGAAACGAAGTGCTCTTCTGGTGATAGGCCAGAGTTGTCGATAGCGGCACTATCCCAGGATAGCAGCCCAGAGCGGTGACCCTCTGCCATGGAGGAGCGGTTCACGTCTCAGTTTGAGATAGTGGCCGCTATTTGATGTTTATCGGGTAGCGGAAGCGGAGTGCTTCCCGGCTCGAGCTGGTTTGAACTGTTTTTAATGTGAAAATCCAGATTTGCCCTTAAAACAAATAAACATTGGAGAAGTTTTGTGGAATTTTTCCAATTTTCCCTAACTCAAGAACACAAAACAGAGGATTCGATCTTCTCACACGCTTTCGCTTCTATTTTCAGAGTTTTCTTCTCAAGATCTTATGCATATAACTAGTCTAAAAAATAGTCAAATAGCAGTTATCCTGTCGCCTTCCCATTTTTTGAGTCGGCCGCTCAACTCCACTATCTGGGATTGATAACTCTGTGATAGGCAATTCCATGTAGGGTATTGAAGCTTTAATCTACTAGCACATTGAATCTTGATTGTGATATTTGTTTGATTAAACATTTTCTGCATCTACTTCTTGTTTTCACCAATAGTTACAAGGCTTAAATAATATTTTCATCCCTAAAATATACACCTTCTCCAAGTTTAGTTACAAGGCTTAAATAATATTTTCATCCCTACAAGGCTTAAATAAGTTTTTCTGGGTTTTGATCCCTGAAACATATGAATAATTTCTTTAGTCCTTGTTTTGATTTTAGTCCCTGTAATATTGGTCTGTCTATCTTGAAATTAGTTCTTGTAAGTTGTAATATTTGAACTATGTTTACTTTTGCCCCTAGAGGAGGAGCTAATTCCCACGTTGAACAAATACCAGTATTACTAAGAGCACAACCAAATTAACAAGGACCTAAATTAACTTTTCTTGTGTTTCTAGTACTAAACAGTAAACACGGATTTTTGCTTTAGGACTTCTTGCTTAAGGTCTAAACGGTAAACACGGATTTTTGCTTTAGGACTTCTTGCTTAAGGTCTAAGGAAACTTTTCCTTCTTATTTTCAAAAAATTGTATAGAGAACAATGAAATGTTTTATGATTTCATTCATATTTTCCTTCTTGTTTTCCACTTAATTGTACATAGGTTATCAAGATTTAGATATAAAGCATAGCTTAAATTCAACATAAGTTCAAAATACAATCCAACAACATAAGTCCATGGTCAATTCATCTAGAAACTATAATTCTAGATATGTAGGACATTAGTCACCCCCTATCTCAGATAGGTATATAATACTAATTTTCATCAACGGAGGTTCTATCTTCTTTAACATCAGCATTGGGATCCTCCAAATAATTTGCAAGTACACTGTCAGTGCCACCACTACCACTAGATTCTGCAATTTGAGCCAAATCATTTCCAATTGAAGTATTCAAATCCAAATTTGGGTTTTCATCATTCTCCAAAAGTTTTATCTGGAGAAAGACAGTGAGAAACTGGTTCTTTACTTAATAGAATTGGGACAGTTTCAGATATTTGTTAATGCAAACAGAATTAAAGTACAAAGAATAACACAAAAATCACTAATTACAACACTATGATAATTTTTCTCCAAGGTTTCGAAAGCCTTGACCTCCCCCGTCCCAAATGTTCTCAAGATTTGGGTCTCTCTCACTAAGCACTCAATAATTCCAAGATAACCCACTATGCCCACTTTCTTTTTATTCTTGCTAACAGCCAACATAACGACACACAATTAGTGAATAAGACAACTGACAGATTCTAAACCATAACTTCCATAAACTTCCCAAAGTCAGTTTTAGTCTTTCTCTTTCCCTTCTACAATATTCTTTAATGAGAGTTCTAACAGATTGTCAATGCTATAGTAGATAGCTTTCCTAACTAGCTTTTTCTTGTTCATTCTTGAATTAGATATCACAAATGTGCAATGTCACGTCATTCATGATCTTTTTATTAAACGGTTCATTTTGTTGGTGTAGACCTAAATGAGTATAAAGTCAATTGAAACATAAGATTTTTTTTACCATTGTGTTGGAGTCTTTGTTTGATGTCCACACGTGGTTGCTACACTACCATGAAAAACTTGGATTTACTTCTGTTGGACTTCAATCTTTTACTAATTAGTCAACGTTTACACTGTTCTTTTTAAATATACTGTTCATGCTTCACTTCATAATCAAGTTTAAGGTAAGCTTACCACATGAAATATCCTATACAATTGGTTATCTCATCTTTGATAAATGTTTTCCAGAACAGTTATATCGATGGTGGAATGACTAAAATCTGTCATAAAATGCCACCACGCTGCCATCCTTCACATATTGGCTGCGGCGGTTGTCAAAAAATCTGCCACTGCAATCTGCCATGGCGCTGCCTTGGCCGATATTTGACAACGTTGTTCTAGAAGCAAGTGTATCTAAGAAAGGAAACAAATTGGGGTTAGTTTCTAAATGAAGTTTAGAAATTATAAACCAAACAAGCAAAAGATAATGAACTCATATTATTTCTTTAGGCTAGTTGATATCTTTGGTGTCGATATTTCATGAACTTGTGGTGTTGAATTATATTATAAACTTTTGATAAGTTGCGTGTTTTGTTTTGGATATGATTAGGAGTTTGCAATTTGGCTTAATTTAATGTTATTACTTATTAGAGATTTTTTTTAATCATTTTTCTTAGGTGCATAAGTTCTATTTTGTGGTTTCGATAGGATGTACAATTCTTTTGTTTTGATATTTTACCCCCTCCCGATTCTAAGTAGGCTCTGGAGTTTTGACAATATTTATTTTGAATCATTTTGTATGGAGATATATAGCTCACTCCAATAAGATAGAGGACTGAAGTAGTATCTCTTTGAATCTACAGGTTTTATGTAAGATGGCACGAAAATGAAACACGTTAATTGATAAATCTGGCATTATTGTACAGTATTTGGTCATGATTTCTTATAATTTAATGATTTGCTTTCACTGGTGCCTTAAATCTTAATTTGTCTGCTATTGTTTGGCTCTGTATGTCTAAGGTTATTTATTGGGTGACGCTTTTAGTTGAATAAACTGGTATGCTCATCATCTTGGTTTGGTAGTATATTCTTTCAATGTGAACTTGTTGATTGTTATTTCTGCTTACTGACCTTCTTTCTTTTCATTTGTATGTTTGATAGATCCCCGTCCTTCGTCAGGCCGAATATCTCTTACACCTGCTAAGGAGGTAAAGTTTTTGGTTAAGGACTACTAAAATGAAATTGTATTTGTTTTGGCAATATTTTGTCATGCAAGTTTCTTTCAACAAATAGGCATCTAACAGGTATGAAATATGTGCAGGAAACTTCCGAAAATCCCAACAATAGAGGCTCCACTTCAACCCAATCAGAAAGTAGCGAGTCTGAGTCTACTTCAAGTTCCCGATTATCCTCTCGGAGGAATTTCTCTAATCACCGTTCTTTCATCTCTAAACCTATTCATCCTTTGTCATTTCCAGACCTAACAACTACTAGGGATGCTTTTGATCCTGCTGCTCCAGATTATACAAGGTTTGATACTTCTAATTCACTCAGAGGCAGCCGCCGCTCAAGTAATGTCAGTAGTAGTCAGGATTCTGCAGATGTTACCGAGTCATTTGAATTAGAAACACCTGCTTATCCATATACTCATTCAGTTGGATTTAGATGCGGCTTGTGTGAAAGATATCTATCGCAAAGATCACCTTGGAGTTTGCGCCGTATTGTGAGAAGCGGAGACATGCCTGCAGCTGGGGTTCTTCCTTGTTGTCATGTTTTTCATGCTGAATGTTTGGAGCAGACAACGCCAAAGACAAGGAAAATTGAACCACCTTGCCCTGTGTGTGTCAAATTAGAGGAGCAATATTCTCCTGATCAACGAGGTGTTTTAAGATCGAGAAATGGTTTTCCTAAGTTTAAACCAGTTTCTGAGGACGGACCCTCAAGAACACGAGACTGTGCACAGGAAGGTGATTGTGTCGGAGGAGCTCTACCGCCACACAATGCCATGTTCCTACTAAATCGAAATCGCATCATAAAAAACATTCCTGTGAGGGGTAATTTAAGCAAGGAATTTCCAGGCAAGGTGAAGAAAACTGAGGGCTATTCTTCACAACTGTTTACTGGCAGCTCAGCTGATCTAGAAGTTGGTGTTTCCTCGAAGGAAAAAGCCGGCCCGAGTATTGAAAGTTAACAAAGTAATGTTCTGAACATCCATTCCTTGAGAGGTTCAGAAGCTGACTTTCCCACGGTAGTTGACCGAAAATTTCCCGATATTGATTCCTAACTCAGTTATGGTTTTGTATATTGATTTGTTACACTTTTATTAGAAGCCACACTTGGAACTTGATATTATTTTTTCCTATATTATTCATTTGAGTTTTGATCTTTATATTTCTTTTCTTAAGTTTTGATCTTTGGTTGAACTTTAAGCATATCTAGTTTTGTTTATTTAGTTGATAAAGCACGCATATAGAGGAGAATTAACTTATTTCATATTATTAACACATGAAAGTTTAATATTAATTGATTAGTTATAAACCACGCGTACTAATATATACAGATTATCAAAATGAATTCCAATAAGAAGGCGTCAATTCAGTGGTTAATTGATATTAGTTTATATACGTGTGGTATATTAGAAATTAATTTATAATGTATGCCATTTTGGATATTTTGCTTTGAAAGTGACATAAGATTCAAAAACTATTTTGTTTCAGAAGTTTCAACAGGTCATTGTGTAAGTTATGGTATTACTTTTCTCAAACTTTATTTTAATCATACATATCAGTCAAACTACCATGTTTTTATTCTGTCCTTAATAAATTGTGGCCCTCATTATTTTCTATTTATATTCCACATTCCAAGTTACTGTTACTTATATTTATATAAAAACAAAAAATTGGCTACTTGGTCATGGTGGCGGCTGCATCACTGACTTATTCTGCCCATCCTATTTCAGTGTTCCTTCCTTTCCATTTCTCTTTACTTCAATTCCACATTTTATGTTACAGGCGAGCTAGTGCTATTCTGGTTTTGTTTCCCTCTCAATATGGTAGTAAAAAACACAAACCAAATAGAGGAATCCACTAATTTCACTTCTGATTTCAAAGCTGAAATTAAAGCTTTTGATGATTCAAAAGCAGGTGTCAAAGGTTTGGTGGAGTCCGGGGTTTCAAAGATCCCACACATTTTTCATACTGGGAAATTGGACATCGGTGAAAACTCTGCTAGTGACTCCAACTTGAATGTTCCCATTGTAGACCTCCAAGACATACAGATCAATCCAACTCTGCGTGCGGAGGTAATTGACCAAATAACAAGTGCTTGCCATGAGTGGGGATTTTTTCAAGTGATTAATCATGGAATTCCCGTCACTGTCTTGGATGAAATGATTGATGGAATCCGTAGGTTTCATGAACAAGATGCTGATGTAAGAAAAGAGTTTTACACTCGTGATAAAAAGAAAAAAGTTGCGTATGTCTCCAATGGAACCTTGTTTAGTGGCCAAGCTGCTAATTGGAGAGATACATTTGGTTTTGTTGTTGCTCCTGATCCTTTCAAACCAGAAGATATACCACCAATATGCAGGTAAAGTACTAACCATTAATTTGGATTCTTACTCTCCAAATCATAACCAGATTTTACAATTGTTACATTACATGGCATGTAATCATGTTAATTTGAATTATTGTTACATTACAAGATCTAATTATGCAAGAAAGATCATCAAAAGTTGAAAGGGGTTTCAAGTCATTTTTGACACTCTTTGAGCTAGAGCTTCTTGACTTCTAAGAACCATATCATACTCAGTTTTTGAGATTTTGTATTGGCTCCAAAGCCATGATTCTCTTTAAAAGTGGTTCTTAGCAAGCTCTCTTTAGGAATCTAAGACTAATTTTGAATGGAAGATCACTATTGGTTGAGAAAGATTACAAATCTCCGTGAAAAGCCTTTAAATTTTAGGGTTTGACTTCAAATGACCATAACTTGGTCAATTTTTATCTCCTTGAGCCCATTATTTTTCCATAATAATCTTTGGTATGTCTACTATAACTTTGTTTCAATGTGCAAGACTTGAAAATGCTTGGAAGGTTGTTAAAGAATTGAAAATATTATAGGTCTTTTGTGAATTTTCCCAAATTTGTTCATCATCTTCCAAAGACCATAACTCTTTCAATTTTTATGATTTTTGAGTGATCTTAACTCCACAATTCAAATCAAGAGGTCTACTTCATGTCTTCTTCAAATATCAAGACCAAATTTTGAGTGGAAGGTCATGTAATTTTGAAGAACATTATAGGTCTTTTTGAGGTCTCATACTTAGAAATATTTCTAAGTATAAAAGTCTTATTTTTTCCATGATTTCAAAGTAATGTAACTTTTTGCTCATATCTCAAAATGACGACTTTCTTGTCACATTCTCCTTCAAATGCTTCAAGAATCGTGTCATAAAGCCTCCTGAGTTATGTGCACCATGGATTTAATGTTGGTACGTTAGAACTAAAGTTTCGCTTACAGTCAGATTGCAATTTTCATAATGTGGCTTTTAATGATCAAATTTGTGCATGTTTTCCACTTATACATGATTAGCAAAGATTTCTTAAGCCTTTAGAGTGTCAAAACGCATCATTTGCATGAATTTTGATGCACTTGTGATCAGTTTTTCCTCATGACCACATATGTGCATGATTTCCACTCAAATTGTATCATTCACCCCTACTCTTGATTCCATTCACTTCTCCTATAAATAGAGACTCTCTCTACATCATTTGAACAAGCTTGAAGAGCCAAAGAAGCCCTGTCAAACTCACTTGCAAAGCTCCATTTCTGCAACTTCGAATTCCTATTTAGAGTACTTCCAACTCCAATTTATTTTTTGATTCTTCTTCCTTGAATTTCACTGAAGCTAACAAAAGAAGAATTAAGTCTTGAGATTCTTCAAATTGTGAAAGTCAAGTCAAGTTTCAGAGCAATTTCTTCATACTTCGTTCAGGAAGTTTAAGGCATCAATTCTTCTAACTCAAATTACTGGAATGATATATGATGTTCATTAATGGTTATTGATGGTTTAATTTTGATTAATTGATACATTTGATGCATCTTTTTGCGAATTCAATTTCTTCAAACACTCTCTGGTTTTTTCCAAATCGACTAAGTTGGGTTTAATATAAATTTTTCGCGAGGGTACCATTGAAATTTTCTTGAAGAGACGAATCAAATGTCATCGGTCTGAGCTTCTGATTTTACAGTTTGGAGACCTGCAATTCGTGTGTGTCCGGAGGTTCAAGATGACCAGTGTGTCATCTCTCAACCAATGACATGGTACATGTTTACCGTGATTTTTGGTAAACAACCGCTGATCCTTCAAAAAGGAAAGTCCTTTTGGTTACTCGCGGGATCAATCAGATTGATCCCAGAACATATGCTAATTTTTTATACTGGATTGATGTAAGTAAGAAAAGAAATCTAGGAAGAACGCACGTTCGACCAGAGACAAGATACTTGAGGTTTTGGAAAATAAGAAAGTAAATAGAAATGTAGAAATGCAGGTAAAGATGCAAGAAAGGTAACTTTGCAGAATAAGATTAAAGCAATGTAAAAGACTTTTATTAATGAAAAGAGGTGTTTCCAACGTATATTTCTCAGTTTATCCTTTCTCACACAGCGGGTACTTGGACAATATTTGAGTAACTAGCACAATAGGTTGAACACACCGAAAAATTACACAGATTTCCTAATTTATACTAAAACTATGTAACCGTCGAGGGGTGGTTCTGCGCTAAGATGAGGACAAGTGTCCTCTGCATGTCCCTCGACCTCTAGCTTCTAGCCACGTTGCTTTCCTTTAGCCACTGGCGAAACTATCTTTCCCTCCAATAATTCAAATTCAAATGTCCCTTGCCTTTTGCTGTCGATGCGAGGATATTTTCTTCTAGTCGAAGGTCATCAGACTTTCTCCGTCAAAATCTTGAAAGTGGGTCCTGGTCGAAGACTCAAATATAACTTAGATTTTTTTTCTCTAAGTCATTTCACACGTCGAAACATTCTTCAGCTTGATTTTATTTATTCCAGTTTTGGTCTAAAAGACCAAATATAGTAGGTGTCGAATTCAGGAGCCAACAAATTTCCCCCCAAGAATGTCTATTTCGACGCTAAAAGAAATAGCCATTCTTTGATCTTTCCGTTTGACACCTGTCTCTCTCGCTTTCCACAAAGGCTTGACGTGTGTTTTTCGTCTTCCAACAGTTGCTGCTTTCGAAAACCCATCATTACTCTTTCTCCAAGATGTCTTTTCCAACTGCCGTTACCACGCTGCCATGATGACCATATTCCTAGAACCTAGGCAAGCATGTCAAAACGTTACCCATCATCTGCACGGTAACTGCTTCATGCTTCGCCACGTGACCCACTATCTTCATAGCATTAAATGGTCTTGACGAGACATATCCCTTTCTGAAGACTATAAATACTCTTGAGCCTTTTCATTTGGAACTTTCACAACCTAAGTATTTCCAAGTCTTCTGCTTTAAACACCTTGCATTGTCAACTTCGCTTCTTTCAAATCTGTAACAATGGCTTTCCTTTCCAATGCACCAAACAATCCCAAACCTAAAAATGCTGACGATATCCAAAGCCAACCAGAGATCTTTCCTACTAACCCTTCTCCTTCCTCGACTGATGGGCTTCGGTTCATTTCTGAACCCATGACGAGGGAGAGGCGAGAAGCATATGATTCCCAGCTCCTCATTCCCATTAGGTACTCCGAATACATATACACTATGTCTGGTCCTCTGTCCACATGCGTCGAGAATCCCATGAGGAACCATGCCTTCTTCCTTACTCATCCAAGACTAAAACCTATAGGTTGCGCGAAGAAGCCTAGGGATGATCCTGAAGATGCAACTCCGGCCAACCAGCAACATATTCAGACTACGGAGGACATTAACCTTCAATTTATGAACAAAGGGACTCGGATCTTTCGATCATGCCCTAATCTCTCCTCATAGTATTCAGATTGGTTGAATAAGGTGGAGAAGGCACAAACCTCTGTCTGGAAGGAAATGGGAATTTACGATTTGGTGATGCTGTCGAAGATAGGATTGTCTTATTGTTCTCTCATGTTGGTATCTTCGCCATATTTCTGGGATAGCGCACACTTCACCTTTCATCTTCCCTGTGGGATGATGACCCCCACCCTCTTCGACATAGCAGCGATTATCGGTCTTCGACCGATTGGCGATTATTTCGATCCTGAGGATCTATCTGAAGATGTTATTGGGTTTGCAGCTACAAAACCCACTTACACCACTTTTATCAACCACTTCCATGATAAATCCTCCAGTACTGTGTCGGAGGTGGAACATATAGCTTTTCTGGTTATGTGGTTATCCCGTTTCGTCTTCTGCACCAAGTCGCTTCAGGTGACTAAGAAAATGCTCACGCTCGCGACGCAGCTTCATCATTGGCTATCCCCTCTGTCTGACCGAATTGATTTTGGCCAATCTATATGAGTCCATCAGCAACGGTGTGACTCAACTCAAGGTTATAGGGGATAGGGAAAGCTTGCTGCTCTCTGGCCCTTTCTGGCTTCTCCAACTTTGGCTTAATGCCACCTTTGAATTTTTTCTTCCCCAGAAAAATAAGATCAATGAAGCGGCCCCAGAAATCCTGAACAGGAGGGTCGAAGGTACCAGGTTTGCACTGCTGACTCCTACTGATGAAGGCCAACAATTTCAAAAGGCTCTCACAAGTTTCATGATGATGTTTGCGGAGCACAAACATTTTGTTTCGACCATGGCTCCTTTTGCCAGTCGAAAAGTCGGCCCAGAATGGTTTACTAGACCATTTCCTTCGACTGAGGAGGAAGACTTGAACGATGAATACGTGGGCATGTGGGAGTCGTTTCTTCGACCTAGAATTATGCCATTGAGATTCAAGAGCTCCAAAAATCAATTTAGCTTGATTGCTTATCAACCAAATCTTATCTCTCGATAATTTGGCATTGTCCAGTCACTTCCCTCACCCATTTATCCTCGAGAGAAACTGCTGTTATTTTATAACGCAGACTACTCAGAAGATGCCGCTACCAAGCATATTGGTAGGTACGTTGGTCGAACCGTACTAACCATGTTCGACTTTAATCTCAATTTTTTGAGTTCTGGCAATTTTTAGGGGTGGTGGAGACAATATTATGATGAAGAGTTCTTCGATGAGAAGGACTTCGCCCACCACCTTCATGAGGCGTTTAAACTGGTCCTTGACAGGGTCAAGAAAGGTATTACTTCTTTTCTTTCTCTTTGCATCAGATTTAATCATTCGACGCTCGATTAATCTTAGTTTTTTTTGTATAGCTGTCAAGAGGACCACTTCGAAGAAGGCTGCTGAAAGCACAAAAGGGGGAGATCCTTCTGTTAACCCTTCTCACAAGGTATTTACTTTCTTCTATACCTTTATTCTTCACGATCATCTGACATGGGTATTGATTTCTTTGACTTGTCTTTCTGGGTATTCAGAAAACTACTCCCAAAAAACGGAAGGTCCAGGAGATCGAAATCTCTAGTGACGAAGAAGAGGAATCTCCTCCTGTTCCTC